GTTCAGTCTGTTAATGGGACGGGTCCAGAGTTCTGGTACCGGTCCAGATAGATGCGTACCCCCACCAGATACCCAGATGTTGAGTATGTGCATAAAACAGCAGGCCGATCTAATAAACTCTCTATATCAGATGGTTTAGAACCTTTTGGCCTCAAGCAAGCCTCAGTAGAACCAGTTAGTTTCTGGATTGGACCAGTACCAGTGGGAGCAGAAACACAGCCGCACCATCATTCTGCCACCACCATGCCTCACAGCCCCCAGGGATTAAGTCCAGGTGGGAGGTGTTGGTTTGCGCCGGGTCAGAACCGTCTCGGTCCATAAAGCTGTTAAACTGTCTCTAGTGTTCCAGCAGGTTCCAGCGTTGGTTAGAACCGGAGCAGAACTATGATCCTGAACCCAGATTAAGGTGGATTGAAGCAAATATTTAACACCTAGAAAAACTGTGATGCCTTCAGAACCAAGGTCCAACTGAGCTGGAGATCTAAAACGGTTCTAAGTGTTAAAATAATCCCAGATCAAATAAATCAGTAAAAGTCCTAAACTTCTGAGATTTCCACCCACGGTTCAGATGAAGCTCCGCCTCCAGCCTGCAGATCGGTGTTCTCAGAACGTTACTGAGGCACCATGCAGCGGTCTGTGATTTTAAACCCGGTTCTGGTTTTTGTTTCTCCTCATGAGCCAAACTAACCCGTCTGAACAGACCAGTTCTGGTTTATCCATGGACACCGGCTGCCATTGATTCCCTTCATGCTTGACCTTGACCGCAGCGTCCAGGAGGAGGACGTTGAGCTGAGGACGTCCTTCCCTGGTAGAACCTGGATGGTCCATTCCGGTCGTCTCAGTGTTTGTTTGGGTTCTGCTGCAGCCTTCCAGCACTGATGGCGGGTCAGTGATGTTTGGACCAACCAGACTTGGTGCCACAGCGGCTTCATGCCACGCCCACTGGCTTCATGCCACGCCCACTCTTAAGGCACTAGTGGCTCCATTCTTTTTGGACAGTAGGGGCGTGAGTAGAAATGCAGCAAATTGACCACAGATCAGATTCGAACCCGGGTCGGCCGCTTCGAGGACTAAGGCCTCTAAGGTTAGCATGGGTTGTGTGTGCTAACCACTGCGCCACCTGCAGCCCAAACCCAGGGTCAACTGGGTCCCTGCTGGGTCCCTGCTGGTACTGGACAACATTAGTGAGCAGTGGAGCGTTTCCTCCTCTGTCTCCCTCTACTGAGCCACTGCTGCGCTTCCTGGGCAGTCGGCTGGGTGGAAGCGCTAACACCTCCAAATTGTGCATACTGTTTGTGAAATGCATGTTTGACGTGCAGAAAGAAGCGGTGGCGTGGTTAGCATGTGAGGAGTCTCTCGCTGTCAGACGGAGCGTGCTCAGTGCGGCCGTGGTCTGGCTCCGCTGTGAACCTGCAGCGTATTTCCTGGACATTAGTCTTCAGACGTGTTTCTGATGTCTTCAGATCCGATCTGAAAGGTTTCTACATAAATTGGACTTATTTGCTGTTTTTAAATGCTAACCAGGTTTTCTTTAATCTTTTCTTTAATTGTAGGTCAGTCCTACGAAATCCGTATGCTAAACAGGAAGCTGATGGAGTATTCGGTCATAAGCAGCAAGTATGTGAAGGTAGGTGGAAGGTTGTTTTCTTCTTCTTCTCCTGTCGGGCTTCATGATCGGACCCTCTCGACGGGCCTCCGTCTCCAGGCTGCCGCTGATCACCCGGAGCTTTTAGCAACCTAGAAAAATAAGAATGTGGCAGGTGGCGTCTGTGCAAACAGATGACGTGGAGGACCAGGAGATGTTTGACCTGTGGTCCTCAGTCATGCATGAAGTCTCCTTCCATAAACGTCTCCACAGACCGATAATTGATTTATTGGAGCGTCTGAGCCGCTGGGCATTAGCCGCTTCCGTTAGCTCAGAAAATATGTCCGACTTTATCTGAAGCCGCAGGAAAGCTGGAGATCAGTGGGTCTGAGGGTCTGATCTCTGAGCCGGGTCCCTTTGGACCTGCAGGAGTCCAGATCAGTGGGGGTGAGGGTCCGTTCTCTGAGCCCGGTCCCTTTGGACCTGCAGGAGTCCAGATCAGTGGGGGTGAGGGTCCGTTCTCTGAGCCNGGTCCCTTTGGACCTGCAGGAGTCCAGATCAGTGGGGGTGAGGGTCCGTTCTCTGAGCCGGGTCCCTTTGGACCTGCAGGAGTCCAGATCAGTGAGGACGGTGATGAAGCTGTCAGGACGTTCTTGTCTTGTTTCCTGTGAGTGAATCCAGATGTTCCTCATCCTGAAACCTGCTTCTCTGCAGAGCATCGTCCGCATCGTGTTCCATGACCGCCGCCTGCAGTACATGGAGCACCAGCAGCTGGAGGGATGGAGGTGGAACCGACCCGGAGACCGGATCCTGGATATAGGTGACCTGCAGTAACATCACCTCAACTCCTCCAGCAGGTTCTGTCCCTCCTGGTTCCGTCCCTCATAATTCTGTCCCCCATGGTTGCGTCCCTCCTGGTTCCATCGCTCATGTTTCAGTCCCTCAGGGTTCTGTCTGTCATGGTTCTGTCTCTGGTGTTTTCGTCCCACATGGTTGCATTCCTCCCGGTTCCGTCCCTCAGGGTTCCTTCTGTCATGGTTCCGTCCCTCAGGGTTCCGTCCCTCCAGGTTCCGTCCCTCCTGGTTCCATCCCTCCTGGTTCTGTCCCCCATGGTTCTGTCTGTCATGGTTCCGTCCCCAATGATTCCATCCCTCATGTTTCAGTCCCTCAGGGTTCCATCTGTCATGGTTCTGTCCATCCTGGTTCTGTCCCTCATGGTTCCGTCCCTCCTGGTTCTGTCCCTCATGGTTCCGTCCCCCATGGTTCTGTCCATCATGGTTCCGTCCCCCATTATTCCGTCCCTCAGGGTTCCATCTGTCATGGTTCCATCCCTCCTGGTTCTGTCCCTCATGGTTGCTTCCTTCATGGTTTTGTCCTTTAAGGTTCCATTCCTCCTGGTTCTGTCTCTCATGGTTCCGTCCCTCCTGGTTCCGTCCCGCCTGGTTCCGTCCCGCCTGGTTCCGTCCCTCATGGTTCCGTTCTCATGATTCGGTTCTCCATGGTCCAGAGGACATTGTCCCAGACCTCTTGTCCTTCATCCAGGTCCAGCTTTTCTAACCAAGCTCTGCTTCCATCTTGGTTCTGGAGAGAAGAAGGCTGTGAGCGGGGACTATATGGTGGACTGACCGTTTGGACAGACAGTCACTACCTTTCGCTCCCCGTTGATCACGTGACTCCGCCTCTCTGTGCTTTGCAATAAGTCGCCGCTGTGACAGGAAATCCCAGAATGCATTCTATATATACTCATCCAGTAACAATGAATGATCAACATTCAAGGTGGGAAAAGTTGAGTCCTCTACTTTCTCCTCCACTAGACGTTCGGACAAACATCTGGTTAGGGCGGACATCTGGACACAGCCCAAGCTTTCACCTTCAGTCCTTCCAGACTGGGTCAGGGTCATGACCTTTGACCTTTAGACTCCGAGCTTCCCGCCCTGACCTTGTGCTGAATGTGCTGAGATGATGGTGTGAGATGTTCTCCTGTAGAACCTGATCATGGAGGAGCTCAGCCTGATGAAGATGTGGAGTCATCTTCAGGCTTGGTGGGAACCAGAGGCCCTCTGAACCTCTCATGTCTTTTTCTCCCAGATATTCCCCTCTCAGTGGGGGTCATAGAACCTCGTTCAGACCCTCTGCATCTCAACACCATCGAGTTCCTCTGGGATCCCCTAAAGAACGCCTCCGTTTTCATCCAGGTAGCTCCGGATCTCCAGCGAACGCCCTCAGAGGTCTGGGTTTGGTCTCACTTCTCCGTGTCTCCTCAGGTCAACTGCATCAGCACCGAGTTCACCCCCAGGAAGCACGGCGGGGAGAAGGGCGTTCCGTTTCGCATCCAGGTGGACACCTTCACCTCCAACGACCATGGAGAATATGTGGAGCATGTTCATTCGTCCAGCTGCCAGGTCAAGGTCTTCAAGGTAGGAGCTGCTGGTCGGGACGCCGCGTTCCGAGCCGAACACGCTCCAACCTTCCTGTTCTGGTTTACAGCCCAAAGGAGCGGATCGCAAACTGAAGACGGATCGGGAGAAGATGGAGAAGAAGACGGTTCAGGACAGGGAGAAGTACCAGCCGTCTCATGACACCACCCTGCTGAAGGAGGTGAGGCGCGCGGCGCGGCGTGGCGTGACGCCAGTCCGCTGATGTTTATTGATCCAGTGGTAAATTCTTTGGTTACGAGCCGTTCATCAGACCAGAACGGGTTGGAGCGATTCGCTCTGCTCAGACCAGCGTTACATCATCACGTTAATGGCTTACTTTACTGCCTCTGTCCAGCTGGCGGACCAATCGCTTCTCAGTGTCTGTTAATCTGGTAGAGGTTTAACCAGAAGGAAGATCAGAGATGAACGTTATGTAATGTTGGGTTGGACCAGTAGAACCAGTAACCTTTGGTCCTGAAACTGGGCTGCTCATCAAGTATCAGCCCCTTAAAGTGGTTTTACTCTGGGAGGCAGTGATCTGCTCGCTCAATCAGACCTCAGAGTTCACTTCAGGTACTTCATGACACCAGGCCTCAGCAGGAGAACCGCCTCACAGTGGCTTAGATCAGGGGCCTCCAACGTGTTCCAGCTGGGACCCCAGACTGATGGTGAGGTGGAGCGGGGACCCCTAATTATATATATAGTATGAAATAGTGTTCTATCAAACTGGTCCTATAGTCACTCTATTACAGATGGAGTAATGTAACTAAAGTAATCCCTCCCTGGGATTATTAAAGTATTTCTGATTCCTGGTTGATGGGACAGGTGTTGTGAATGAAACGGTGTCCAGATTGAAAGTGCTCCTGTGTGTCTCTGAATGTCAGCATTGATGACTGAAAGACCTCTTCTGCTTCTATTTATCTGTTTACTACA